TATAAATATATATATATATGTATGTATATATATTAAATATATATATATGTATATATATATTTATATATATATATATCTGTATGTATATATATATATATACATATATTTTATGAATATATATATATATATATATATATGTATGTATATATATATATATATATATATGTGTGTGTGTGTGTATATATTTATACATACATATTAATATATATATATATATATATATATATATGTATATATATATTATATATGTATGTATATATATATATTATATATATATATATATGTGTGTGTGTGTTTATATATTTATACATATTAATATATATATATATATATATATATATATATATATATATATGTATATGTATCTATATATATATTTATTATATATATGTATATATATATATATATATATATATATATATATATATATATGTATATATATATCATATATATATATTTATATATATATATATATATAATTTTAGGGTATGGTATATATATATATGGTCAAATTGTTAAATATATATAAATTATCTTTTATGGACAAAGAATCACATTGACGGAACATCGTGAAAATCTTGTAAGAGAAATCGAGAAGGCCATTGAATGAATTCTGAGAATGCATTGTTTTCAACTAGTGACACTGTTCTAGATGCGAAGTAGAAACTGGATATGTCAAAATTAAACAAAAACAAAAGTTTATATATCTGATAAATGTTTTAACAGATAAAGGAAAATATGATAGCTAAGTCCGAAAGCGCTCTGAAAAAGCAAAATGCGGAAAGAATGTTTTAATAACAGGAATAAAAAGAGTTATCAAATGCTATTTAATATTAATCCTCACATATGGCCAGGAATTCTTGGCAACTTCCTTAGAGATGAAGATGAGATTTAAGACTGCAGAGATGTGACGCAATAGCAGGATGCTGAGAATTCTCTGTACAGCTCATTAGAGTAGTTTCAAGGGAAGTGAAGCAATGTGCTCTTTATATTTAAAATAAAAAGAAATTGTTGAAATTTCTAAAACTTATAAGGATGTCGGATAGTCGGAATATTTTACCCTCGCAAAACATTGAGGAGACAAAAATGGTCGAAGGGAATCAGCGAAACACCTATTTATCGAGCTTAATTATATGGATGACAGAATAAGTAGTGGTTGATAAGGAAAAGGCAATCATTGCTAACTCCAGAAATTCTCGAAAGTTGTTGATAGCCATTATCGCACACGTTTTGAAGGGCCACTGCAAATAAAAAGAAAAAAAAAAAGAAATCGCTCTAACATAAAATGAGTAACACTCTTAGCCAATATACAGTAACAGATGGGAATACAAAGAGATAGACGTTTCTATGAATAATGTTTGTTTATATGATTACAGAATTATTCTTTTGAATAAAAAAACACTTATCCAGATGCAATAAATCAACAACTGTGTATCTCCGTACAGGATATGATTCTTGAATTTTCCCCATTTTTTTTATTTGGATAAAAATTTCATTCTTTACTTCCACCAGTTTGGAACTGGGACATGTCATGCTGTTTCCACGGAGTCGAGTCGCTCTTATTTCCTCCATATTTCGATTATAGGGAAGAGATTCCAAACCGACAGCTTTTTCCCCTCAAAAACTGCTTCTTTTTTTGAACAGATCCCCATGACGATATTGCCCTGAACTCTATGATCAAGACCTCCTCGGATCGGTGGTCAGTCGTTATCTGTCCTTCTTTTAAGAATCTTCGCTTCCTGCCACCTCCTCTCTCTTTCATGCCGTACACCACATTATTCTTAACCATTTTAACAATAACCTTCTACGCTCAAATTTAGACCTCATCAACTCAAGGATCAATAGTTATCTAACACCCTCCTTTTCATAATCTTCACTCCCTAGCACACCTTGTATTCATATCACACATCTCATACAGTTACCTTCTACTACTAATTCGCAAAGCTGAGAACATTCATTTTACGACCGTCAAAGCCGGGTTGAAATCAAATCGTAGTTGATTTATTAGGAAGTTAAGATCTAGAGATTATCAGTTTGGGGCACATTTCGAAAGTGTCTGAAAAACCTGCAACGGGTTGACCAAAGTCTTATGTGTGAAACTGGGCAGACAGACGCTGGTTGTGCGAGCAGAAAGTCCCAAGTCATCGTGACCGAGCGTTGATGCTTTATTCAGACAGTTGATTATGGAAGATAATGTCCTCTTTCTACGAAACTGTAACTAATTTATGCACAGCATATTTGTAGTATGAGCCACAATTGGGTTTTGTGGGTGTTGACCAATCATAAATGTACCTGTGCCGGCGTCTGTAACATGGATCGTCAAGCCGCCCTAGTTGACAGGAATATATATAAGCAAATCCTATACCTCCCGCATTATCCTGAATGCCATTCTCGAGTGATTGTGAAAGAGCCTTCATTTGTAGAAACGAGACGCTAACTAATGACCTGAACCTCTGCATAACGACCACACGATTATTTCTGATGTTAAATCAATAGTGACATCATCACCTTCTCTGTGGGGAAAGTACATTAATAAAATGTTAATCTAACAAGTAGCCTTTCTAGATCCATCAGGATATATTCTTGTTCGGTCGACTCTGGCTTGCCAATAAATATTTCCATCTCTCCGACATTTCGGCTTTCTCGTTGTTGGACGAATGCCATTTTCGATTGGTTCCAAGTTTTTGACTTAATCGACATTGCCATCTGCCAACCTTTTTGCTCTCATCCCTTATTTTGTCTTGTCACTCCCTTTTTTTCACCATCCTGTACCAGTTCTTGTGCCATCGGCTGGTGTCATTGAACATGAGAAGTCGCTGGGAAATATATGAGAGCAGCGGAAAGATAAGGCATTCTTCATGTTATTATTCCGACTCCGTTTGACTTTATCTATTTATCTTAGCCTCATCTTCTACCCCGCTAATTCTTATTAGTCAAACACGTTATAAAAATATTTCAGAAACAATTATTGTATGTTGCATAAAGGGAAAGAAATAAGAACATATATGTATTGGTATGTAATTTGACAATAAATAAAATCATTTATTCTTCTAGAACTTTAACAGAGCAGGTTATCTTCAATAGTTTTTAATCTACAAATGTCATCAAAGAAACGACCTAGGAGCCACTCAAGCTAGAATTTTACTGGATATTGTGTAGCTGCACTACGAAGAAGTACGGATTATAAGGATACATATTGATTTTTTACGGGTTATCAATCCTTTACGGCATATGATATTTACAGCCTATTAATGTTTTAGAGGTCATTGAACATAGATAATCTAACAATTAGCCTTTCTAGATCCATCAGGATAGATTCTTATTCGGTCGATTCTGGCTTGCCAATAAATATTTCCATCTCTACGATATTTCTGCTTTTTCGGTGTTGGACGGATGCCAGTTTTGATTGGTTCCAAGTTTTTGACTTAATCGACATTGCCATTTGCCAACCTTTTTGCTCTCATCCCATATTTTGTCGTGTCTCTCCCTTTTTTCACCATCTTGTACCAGTACTTGTGCCATCGACTGGTGTCATTGAACATAAGAAGGAAAGTGCAGAGCTCATGTACCAATCTCTGGGTATGTAGATCTTTTGTGGTGCTCTCGTAAACCTTGGAATCAACTGCATATACATTTACTCATGATACGAAATGTTCTTGGGCAGCTCGTTAATATATAGCAGTAAAATAGTAAGACGAGTAGTCAGCCTTGGTGGCCGCCTTTATCGATCTCATGGGCATCAGGAAAGTTAATCAACAAGGTGCTACTAGAATTAACTAGGAAACTTGTGTGACAACCGTCTGTGGCACACTTTGTCAAGCGCCTTCGAAATATCTAAGGGCGTTCACTTGATGAATTTCTTATGAAGATCTTCAGTGATTCTATGTGGACGTCAGAGAGTCTGTTTGGGACGTTCTATTTCTGATTAATATCGGAAGAGTAGCTTTGGCAATGTAAGATATGTAGCTATCCCATTAAGCTTGGATATATCGGTGGATTGTCCTATGAAACGGACATTGGAGAACACTTTCGGTTTGGCATCATCTTTGCTATTGACTAATGGGTGGCGCGTGATGCACAAGGCATATAACAATTCTATGGATAATTTGACAGGATAAGTTGTGATAATGAGGCATAGTAGTTTAGTATAATGCCCAAATTTATCGGTAATACTAGTAGGCTTATCTACGATATTAGTCAGTTTGGATGCTTTGGAAAAAGTGGTAGTATCAGTCATGTTTGAGTGAACTAATAATTCTTCAGGTTGGATACTGGAACCACTACAGAAATGAAGGATATCTCAGGAATAATTAGAGAGGGTATCATCAATGTTTAAGCTATTTTCTTAAAACTGAAAATCATTTTATGAGCGATAGACAGTGAAGAAAAAAAGACAAACTATAAAAAGGCTAACCCGGAAGTATATGAATATGAATTCAAGGTCTTTATCGATGGTGTCTCTACAGCAGTGTGGACTATCCATGATATAGGCACCAAAGTCCAGACGCTGGCAATATTGATGTTATGTCTTATGCAAATAGCTCAGTAATATAAAAAACCTCTGAACTGCACTTGATTGGCTGAGTCCAGTTTCAGTTAGAAGTATGAGGACAGGATTCACCCCTGGGAAATGTAGCGTAACTTTGGGTTTGTTGACCGTAGATCCCTTATAGGGTTTAGTTTTTGCATGGGTAATATGGGTTTGTATTTACTGTGTGATAGAATTAATCATTGAATTAATAATTTATTGTGCGCCTATTTTTTAAGGCTTATCAACCTTCTGCCAAAAATATTTTTATATTGTAAGATGATTTGCAGTAATAATGATCTACTGAAAGAGGTCTTACCAATTAACCCATAGCGAGGAGTATAAGATGTGTGTTTTTAGCTTAATTTGGCGGGGAAGTGAATATAACGAACCCAGATGGAATTAAAATACGGCGCTCCAATTTTCAATTTCTAACCGTTATTTCTTACCCCACACGTACAGCCAAGCTCATAGTACCTGGTAATCCCAAGCGGTCACCCACACATCTACTGACCAGACTTGGCATTGCTTAACTCCGGTGATCGTACGAGAACCGGTTTTTCAATGTTGTATGGTCGTAAGATCTTTTGGTATGGGAGAGCAGGATCCTGGAGAGTGAAATTGAAACTGCTGAAGATTATAAACTGGTCATTTGTGAATGTCTGTGCTGATCATTCGACGTTATATTGTTGCACCTCCAAAAGAGTAGACGACCAGCGCTTTGCAGCTGATCACTCCTATGATCGATCGGTCATATTCAATGTCTGGAAACCCAAAATAATGGCGTTCCATCATCACCAAAGCGAATCAGAATTTTCAGCGATTACGATAAACGTTGGCTTCCACAGGAAGGCCCAGTGCCTTGAGCAACTGATGAGAAACACAACCAAGACGTGAAATGGAACTCGTCCATACAATCCTTCGCATAATATACTGAAAAATGGCCGGTTCCAAGTACTGCTTTAGTAAGTATCTTATTTTATTCTCTAACTTTACATGAACCTGGTCAGGCCAAAAGTGGACTGTAGCTGTCAAATATTGGCAGAAGCTGCTCGTCTTGATAGATTCATATAGTATTTCCGTGACATTTTGAATAAGGAATTATTTTCCAACTTGCAATTCCTTACTCACAGAAAGACTTCCTCTGCTCTGTCCGAGAAAACTACCATCCTTAGTTCCACCAGTTATACTCTTCACGGTTAAGATCTTCTATGATACGCGCATTGTTAAGATATTAGTCTTTCTCGGACAACAGCTTCCAAAGAATCGCTAATTTGTAGAACCAACACCCAAGAAGATGTTTCCCGATCACTTCATTTTTAACCTATTCAAGTTTAGGGTCAAATGTTATCTTCAATAAATAACACGATAAAATATGTTTCTTAATCTGCAAAACTCTACTTCTATGGCGCTGAGGTCTTGTACAGAATGGACATTATTTTAAAAATAAACTAAAACCCAAGCGGAAAAACTTACCTAGATTAATTTTTATCATGTTATCTGTAGGCCCAACCAGATATTACTGGACTGTCCAAATATCCATTCACCAAGGGTAGAACATTAGCCACGATATTATGAAGATTCTTCCTTAAAAGTTGCTCTTAGATAGTATCTTTACATACTACTCGAATGTAATGATTATTGACTCTCTGATAACGTCAGCACAGAAAAGAGTTTAACTCCAGTACCGTTGATAAAGAGACAAAAAAAAATTACAGGCATACTACAGAACTGAAACGATTACGTTTACCCAGGGATCTAAACAGCTGAACATTTTGGTACGGAAACGTTATCACTGACCAGCGCTTCCAGAAAGAGACAGAGTCGTTTGGAAGACCTACTAGGTGAAGTGGGGTCACAAAGACTTCTCGAAGATTAGCTAGCCATATTTCAATAAATTTACTGTAGGAATATGGCATTAAGAAAATAAATATAATTAGTTGACTGATTCATTTTCTACAGCATTTCGATATCATGTTATTTAAAGTCAGAAAAATATTTTTGGCTTGTAAGAATTCTGGCGTCTGACACAAAATGTACAAATCAACACATGGCTTGGACGGAGGGATGGGTTCATATCTTTCTCAAGGGATTTTGCGCTTAAGTGAATATATCTAACCAAACTTGAATTGAAAAGCAGCTGTCTAATTACCCTTTGTCCATTACACCACCCGCTCATACAAAATTACGCCAGTCATCTTTTTAACATGATGGCGCCGTAACCCCCTAATTGGATGATTATATTTAACATAGAGTCAGAGTGTCATCGAGAAGAGAATACAACGCATAATTAGTAGCAAAATAGTAACATTATATAACAAAATAAAAAAATCAACATAATTTGTTTCTGCACTCCTTAGCTAAGCTTCCTTTTCCATATAACCTGTTAATTGCGTTGACATCCTGTGAAATATACTGGAATGATTTCCGTGTCTCTCTCTTCAGGTAGCTTTAGCCTAGGACTAGAATCTAATCTGCTCTTCTATTTACTCCAAAAAGCTAAGGGGAAAAGGACATGGATTAATAACTTTCTCGATGACAATTTTGCGAAACTGAAAGGACAAAGACAATATTCAGTAAACAATGGCTGCATGAAAACAAATGTCACTGCTTAAATAAAAACATACATGTGTGGGTGCATATATATAGGTATACTATATCTATGGGCAAAAGTGCTTAATGTCCAGGATAGAGCATATGTAAGTAAAAATTGAAACCTTGGATCAACTCCGAAAGACTGTTTCATTAGTCGAGAAAAACACGACAAACAGGGCAAGAATATTGTATTCAAGTATGATATTGACTGTCACCGTTCTGTGTTGAAAAACCACTTCTCTCTCCTCCTCTCTCTCCCTCTCTCTCTCCATATATATATATATATATATATATATATATATATATATATATATATATATATATACGAATGTAAAAAGAATGAAGAGTAAGTTTTCAGCGTTCAGAACATTAATTTGAAACAGAGCTCGATACAAAAGTATAGCCGTAAATGTCTATCTACCTATCTACTCTCTATCTATCTATCATTCTATCTCTCTCTCTCTCTCTCTCTCTCTCTATATATATATATATATATATATATATATATATATATATATATATAAGTAGAAGAAAGAGCCCAGGTGTGCTTCATATAGCTTATAAAATAGAATAGATAAGTTATTAATAAAAACAAAGGCAAACGGAAGTTTACCGATGTGATCAGCACGGAAAATATTTATTAATATTAACCACCTGACAGAATTGAAGCACGGAGACTAAGCTTCTAATTTTATTTTTCTCTTTCATTTTATTTTTATTGCCTATTTTCCACTTTTTTTACCCTGTATCCTACAGCAGCTAAAACTTAACCACTTCATGTCCTATAACCTTTTTCCTCTATGATCAATATCTCACTCCCTTTCCAAAACTAATTTTTTTAAATCTAAGGTTATTGTCACAAAAATCTTTGCACGGCGAGAAATCAAACACAGGTCGCATTTTTTAAAAATAATTCCATCTACAAACAGGATCATCCACACCCTCAAGACCTTCACTATTTCTCTGTTTATTTCTCGCATCCGGTGCTGAAGGACGCAGGAGTGTCCAAAAATCACGAGCTTTGAACTTTAATCTACGTGCTTCATTTCTGTCATGTGGCCAATAATTATAAATGGTTTTCTAGCTGATCACATCAGTACCATTTCCTTTGCTTCTGTTTTATTAACCAACTTATCTTTTATCTATCATATATATATATATATATATATATATATATATATATATATATATATATATATATGCGTGAGTGTATGTGTTTATGTGTGTGTATAGGGGCTTTATGTGTGAGTGTGAGTGATGGTTGTCTCTGTGTGCTATCTAAAATATTTTGCAATCATATTCATCATTTTCTCTATTTCATAAGGTGTTTCAATTTTCTTATCTTTCGCAGAGATGTAGATTTTAACAGTTCCTTTCCTGGCTTCATACTTTTTCTTTCTCTCGATCTCCTTTTCTCTCTCATTCTTCCCTTTGTTATCCATTTTCCTTCCTTTTTCATCCTCTGTTTCGATGCATCTCTTTACTGTACGTGCTGACAGTGTCAGTGAGGATGATGTTATAATTTACATTCTTTTCTCTTTTAGGCTTTTTTTTTCCTCTTCTCTTTTCCTTGTCATTTTCTTTTTGTCTTGTGGTTCATTTGTCCGAGCAACCAGTCTTGCATGTTTCTCTATCCTTCTCTTCTGTTATTCATTTCTGGTTGGTCGTGTTTGTTTTCGAAGTTCAAGTGATTTGTATTTCCCTTTTATTTATTTATTCTCAGGTAATTACAATCACAACTCCCATCCCCCTCCAGGCAAAATTTTTATTTTTCCCCAATGAATTTATTGTTCTTTATTGCTTGAGAAAGCATTTAACAATCAGATTTTAGCTTCTTGGTATTAAAGTCATTTGCAATATTTGAAATAATCTTTTTTGTTTTTCATCATCTTATTGATTTTCTGTTGTTGTTCGTACTGTTTTTGTTTTTTAGTATGTTTTAATGTTTTATGCTTTAATATTTTTATTTATTTTTGACTATTTTTAAAATCCCTTCCTTCTTCCAAATATGTCTGCGTTTCTTCATGGTAAGATGCAATGTGAATACAGACTGTTTGGTAGACAGCCGGAAAAAATATTGACAGATTAGAATAAATTCGATGAGCTATGTCGTCCCAGAAGAATTGATAAGATAAAAATAAGTGGAAACAACATGTTATATCTGATCAACATGGTAAAAAACTGATTGGTTCCTCTGTTAATATAAAATTGTTTTGCTCGGAAAAAGAAAGTCTATAAAATTTATCAAAATTTTATATTGTGAGCAAATATGTTTTCTATGAAGAAACTTTAGTTGTAATTAAGTCAAATAAACATTTTTATCTGAAATTTCTAGGATTGCCAATTAATATGGATGATTTTGCTTCAATTCTAAAAATAAAATAATATCAACGAAATCGGCAAAATAATATTGGCGTTTTAACAACATTCAGCCCTTTACTATATGCTTTCATTTCTTTTCAAAATGTTTCTTTTTACCACTTTTGGTTACTCTATGCCCTTCCTTTGGATCATTATTCCTTAGGGTCAATTCGACGATTTACTTTTAACATAACTGTTCATTCTTCTTTACGTGCATTTTACAACTTGTTTTTGTCTCAGTATTTAAACTCAAAAAATGTTTTTCATATTCAGGAAATAGAATCGATTGTAAAAAGGCGGGCCATGTAGTTTTGAAGCTGATATTATCCTGTTCATTGTAGAAAACGTTTCATGGCGAATATTGCAGACATAATTTCTCACAGCCGTCTTCAAAACCTATCTCTCCTGAAATATTTAATGACAAAAGGCTACAGATTCAAATACTCACTACTCCAACATCTTCAGGGCCTGTAGAGTGAACGATAAATGAATTTAACTGATGATTGATGATTACATTTGAATAAATTTAACCCGACAGCTAAACACGTCATTCTACTTTTAAAATACCCTGTCAGTCAGGACATGTTGGTCAATAAGGAAAAAAGAAAAATTAAATTAAAATCAA